CACGGTGGAAAGTTGGTGAACGGGCTGTTGGCACGAGAACTTGGAGTCACTACACCTCGCCTCCTGGCCAATTCCCTGAATATGGAATGGGCTATTACCATGTTTACCAAGGTAATAATCTTACATCACACATTTCCTCAAACTGCCGACAGCGTCTTGAGAATAAAACAATTATGTGACATAATGTAAACTTTGGAAAACCTACATTGACTTCAAATGTTTCAGAAAGCAACAAATAAGAAAACCGATGAAACTGGCTTTCTAACACCAGCCGCCTCAAACTCGGTACAACTTAAAGTGAGTATTTTTTTTTTATATTATGGACATTAATTGTATCATATATATATGATACATTAAGATTTTATAACTATTTTGATTTTGAAGAAAATTCCTTCGTTACTTTACATTCCACTCAGGACAGACATCTTTTCACTCCAGGTGCCCACACGACAGTTTAACGTGAGACATGCAGCGGAAATTAAAGGAGGTGCTGATGTGTACAAGATGGATAAAGAGGCACGAGGCTTTGTTCGCATCTTCAACTTCAGTTCTTTTGAGGACAGATCCGACCTGAACCTTCAGCAACTCGACTACGATGCTCGCATTATGTCAGATGTATTTGATAACATGGGATACATGTGTAAAACACACTCGTCACTCACGGCTCAGCAAACTAAGGAAGTCCTGAAAAGTATTCGGGATGCTGATGAGCTAACAGACGTCGGATGTGCAATATTTGTCATTTCTGGTTATAGTGTAAATGGCAGGAAAGTTCTTACGTCTGACATGAAATCTGTAGACATCGACTATATCTTAAATCTCTTTAAAGATTCGGAATGTCCTCAGCTCAAAAACAAGGCCAAACTTTTCATCTTTAACTTGTACAAGCTGAATGAAGTGATCACGACTTCAAGCAGTGAAACTCTAAAAGTGATGAGGGTGGCAGATCCCCTTAACGACATGGCTTGTATCTATTCCAGCAACATTGGTTTCAACTGCATCCCGAATGGGAAAGGAACAGCTTTCAACTGGTGTTTGTGTCGCACTTTGGCAGATTATGCCGCTGATCAGGAACTGTGTGATTTTTACAGAGAATTCCTGAAATATTATAACGAGAGCTCTCCTACTTTCTCACCCTGAATTGAGGTACTTTGGCTTCACCAAGAAATTCTTCTTTAATCCTATGTAAATTTAATGAGATCCTCTGTGAAGCAAGTTTTTATCTGATTTATACACCATTAATTCAAGAGATCTGCAATGGCATGTTAAGGTACTCGATATTTATTATTTAAAGAATGACCATTAGGATAAGTGTAGAAAAGTAACACTGTGGTGTATTTTCAATATATAACTAACAACAAAATATTTCAGCTACATTTCTTGCTTTGTAAATTTTTATATTTTCATACCTTTTCCACCGATTCTCGACATATAGATATATATTGAATGTACATATTTATATATTATACAGGAGGAATACGAGATAGTTATCTTCATACAACACATGATTTGTTTATTATATTCAAGCAAATAATATGCTTGATATATCTAGTCATGTAAATGTTATATATTGTAAGCTTCTAGTATAAATACATCTAGCTTTTGTATTTAGCATTTTCCTATCCTGGTCTTTAGATCTCTAGCCTTACCTTATTTCTGTAAGAACATTACAAGAGAGAAAAACTTTCAATTCGATTAAAGATTAGTGAGAAAAAAAAAAGATAATTGAGGGTTTAATGTATTGACATGATATGGACTAATTTTACTGTGTATATATTCAGTACACAGATCACACGTGATACAGGCAGACAGACACAGAGATAGAGAGATAGATTTGTAGATAGGTAGATGTTCATATTTCTTTGTACGACAGACAACGAGGCAAAAGGGATTGCCAATATCCTCTTATTTTCTAATAGCGATACAGATATACTAAACGGATGCAGGATATGGTTTATCGTCATATCTGGCCATAATGTGAATGGCAGGAAATTTCTGAGAAGAGGTCCTTTGTTTTCATTACAATATTTTCGGGAGACTACCCTGAGTAACTAAAATAATCTTTGTGGCAGTGGTTTTATGACTCATAGTTAATGAAACTCTGTGCATTGCTGTGTGCGATGTATTATTTTTTAAAATCAAAATATGTAAACATATATGAGCATAAGTGTGTATATACAAACATATAATTATATATATGAATATATATATAAATATATTTATATATATGTATATATATACATATATGTTTGTACATAGATAAATATATATACATGCATATATGTATACATGTAATTATACATATGTATATATCTGTATATATGTATATACATATATATACACTTAAAAAGGAGGCCATTACATCCGGCGAGCATCTGTTCCCTGACAGCGCTCGGGCCTTCCCTGTAGAGGCCATTAAGACCTACAACATCGAGTCCGGAACTCCGGAATGAACTCGAGGGCGAACACCTTCCCATAAGCTGGTCCTCCAATTACATCAACCAGTCAAGCACAAGGTAATATTACACCGTATATGCAGCAAGAGCAGATGGACTAAAGCTGGACGAAGGGATCTTCTCAGAAACATGTCTTCAAAACGCCTGACTCCCTTTGAAAAAGAAGCCCTCTCCCTTTGCTTGAAATTCAGCACCGGGCAGGAAAGCAAGGACCTAAGCGACTACGTCATCTCGTACCACCGCTGGTCCGATAGTAAAGTCGACAAAGGATTCGTCCAAGGGATTGCTGCATGCTGTATTGGTGATGCGTCGTCACGCCCTCCGGCGCTCCCACGCAAATATATCACAGCGCTGAAGGACCTCCGCGACGATGATCATCGTCATCACCCAGGCTGATAAAGTTGGGGGTATTGTTGTTATGGACAAAAGTGAGTAAATACTTAAATGAACAATTTACTTTCCGATGCATATATATATGTATATATATATGTATTTATATATGTATATATACATATATGTATATAAATATATATATGTATATATGTATGTAAATAAGTGTATGTGTATTAGATTTATTATTCAAATAAAGATATGTATATATAATTGTATATATATATATCAGTATATATATATGCGTGTCTGTATGTGTACTGATTTAAATTTATATATACACATATATATGTACGTATACACACAAAAATATGAATAAAATGTGAATAAATATAAACTTCATATATATACAGAAACTATTATATATACATATATATCACACACGCTCACATCTCTTTCTCTCTCTATATATATGCATATATATAGGTGCGTGTACGTGTGCATTTATGTGTTTATATATACAGATACCTAATTATTCATACACACAAACACATATATGTATGTATATAATTTGACAAGTGAAAACATTCTACGTGTGCAGACGACGTTTGGCAACTCTCTCGGGTTGGGACTTGTTTTGCTATCTCAATATGACGTCACGGAAAGGGATGACATGTGTTGATATTTATGTATAATCGTGCATATCTTTATATTGAAAAGAAAGTGGTAATCAATATAATTGCTGATTATCTACCTGTTCTTGTTTATTTCGTTCATTGCTTCACACTAGCAGTATGTACTGATTAGCTAATCTGCTGAACACTACTATCATCGTGATAACATTCATCTGATGATATGGACTGAATAGCATGTATGAACTGGTGATCGGTGGTGTATGTGGTACTGGATTACCCGTTAAGTTAACTACAAAGCAAGTGGTTGATGTGATTACGGCGCTAAAGTGATGCTCGAGCTTCTCTTCTCTATTCTTAGTTATACCCAAGAAATAGTAATGAATGAAGTTGTAGAAATGGAGTCACTTCCTTGTGTCACTAAAATGTCATTATTATCGAATACATGTATGTGCATTTGTGTATCATATTTTTTATCTACACACTTATACACACATACTGTGCATACAAACACAGCACAAATAGCGCACAAACATACATAGGTGTGTGTACATATATATATAAATATCTATACACACATGTCCACAAACACAAATATATATATATATATATATATATATATATATTGTCTGTGTATGTGTATACACATGTCAGTGTGTGTGTTTAAATAGATACGTACATTCACACACATAATGCAGACACAAATACATATATATTTGTTTATGTATATATGAATCTATATGTCTTGGAAGTAAGTGCACAGAAACGTTCACAGTGGCCATTTTCATTACATAATAATACTATACTTAAAGATGACATTTACTCAAAAATATAATAAGGGAAACACAGACTGAGAGCAACAGTCTGAAGTTGTAGACTGAGAGCAACAACCCCCATGAATATAAGCCTTTCAGAGACTTCTGTGGAGCTGCTACTGTAGTGAAATGTTTTTCGAGACGCTTGTAAATTATATAAATAAACTAATTACATATTATGTCTTCAAAAGCAGGGTAAACGACCAGACAAATAAGATGCGCAGACAGTGCACTTCTAAAAGATCTAAGGATGGAGGACTAGAACGGGGCAGCGGCCGGACTTTTCAGAAAGGGAGACGAAGGCACCCATTTCAATTTTGTTTTCATTATCATTATCATTATCATTACTGTTTTTGTTATTGTTAGTATTTAGTTATTATTTTTTATTATCATTACCCTTATTATTATTATTATCATTATTATTATTATTATTATTATCATTATCATTATTATTATTATTAATATTATCATTATCATTACCATTACCATTATTATCATTATTATTAGTATTTAATTTTTATTTTTTATCATTACCTTTATTATTATTGGTATTATCATTATTATTATCTATACATATGTATGTGTATACATATATAGAGGAATGCATACATGTATACATACACAGATATATGAAATTTTAATATATATATACATATATATGTGTGTGTGTGTGTATACACACATATATGTGTATATATATAATACCTACATACTTACTTGCAAATGTATATATGTATATATCCATATATATACATATGTATGCAAAATATGTTTACGTCCATAGATGTATATGTATATATTTATATATGTGTGTGTGTGTACAGTACACACACACACATAAACACACACACACACATACATATATATATATATATATATATGTATGTGCATATATACAGTATGCATATATATATACACACTAACACACACACACACACATATATGTCTATGTATACATATATATATTATACATATACACATGCATATATAAATATATATATATATATAAATGTAGATATAGGTATATATAAATATATATATATATACATAAATCTTTATATATATATATATATTGTATACATGTGTATATATTTATATATATACACATATATATCATATACATATATGCGCGTAAATATGTAGATAGACAACTGAAGATGCGAAATGGGGTAGAGAGAAGAGAAGACACATGATAAGACAAAAGTGAGAATTAGATAAAGAGAAACAAAATATACAATAGTGGATTTCTACGGCATTATAACCTCCTCTGTGACGTTATCGTGACGTAGCATCACAAGTTTCAACCCGCGGGTGTTGCCAAGTGTCGCTGGCACATCGGGAAGTCGTGTGAGAAACTGTAGTGAAATATATAAATATACATATATATATGTATATATATATATAAAACTATACACATGTATACATCTAAAACCATAGACAGTCACAAATGTATCATTATAACAGACATATGAATACATATACTTGCACGCATACTGAGTTGCATGTAAGTATACCGAGTTATCTGTTTACTAAATTTCTACCTATTTTCCTATCTACATACTATGAATAAAAGTGTGTGGGTATATATATATTTATATGTGTGTGTATTTATATATATATCCAGATCAATTGTGTTGCCGAAAGGTCTAGTTGTTTGACTACTGTGTTTACATATTATCTTGAAATATTAACTTAAATAACGTAAGCGTAGTGATGATTACTGCACTACACATACATTTACACATACATACACGGCCGCGCAACATACACATATAAACTGTATATAAAATGAAAATAAAAATATTTATATTCAAACAGATGCTTACACATAGGTGAAGTTGGAATCCGTAAGAAAAACAAAATACCGGCACAAGTTTTGCGCGCGCAGCCGGGATATCGCGTTCCAA